ACACACGCACACACACACACACGCACGCACACACACACACACGCGCACGCACGCACGCACGCACGCACGCGCACGCACACGTAAGTAAGGGAAAGATCCTAGTAGTACAGTAGTCAATTTATATCATGACATCAACAAAAGAGTTTCGTCCCGATGGTGTCGCTGCAGAGCAAAAAATCTGACAGATTTTAAACTTTGTCGTGTACGGCGGCAAATCGCGCTGCAAACGGACACAGGAATGTCGAAAAAAATGCAAACAAAAAAACACACACGTATACTAAAAGAAAACACATAACACAACTCAAAACAGAAGCTCTGAAAGTAAGACATTCAGCAAATGACCACCCCTGTAAACACAGAAATGATGAAGAAAAAAAAAACAGGAATCATAACTGCAGAAAAAAACAGACGCAAGAAAGAAATGATGCAATCACAGAAACAAAGTGGAAGCAAATAATATACGGCAGTGAACAAATGCACAATAAAAACGCACATCACAGACAAAGGCAAGAAAAGAATGATGCAAGTACAACCGACCAGGGTTCGAGTCATGTAGTTTTGCTGCTCTATTAAGAAATTGTAAAAGATAATGTCCAATTGTTTAAAAAGACATGAAGTGAAACGTACCCGTTTTCTCAAAAAGGTGGTCACTCATCAGCGCTCAGGTCTTTTCAGAGGATCTGCGATGCCCCCTAGTGTCCCGGCGAACTTCCGTTTCCTGGCGTAAATTCCATCTTTTTTTCAATGCCGTCGTTTTTCCATTGGTGTGTTTTGGTGCGTTTTTGTATTTGTTTTGTGTTTTGTAATGTTTGCCTTCACTTTGTTGCGGTGATTGCAGAATTTCTTTCTTTCGGTTGTTTTTTTCCTCCATTGTATTTACAATGCGTTTGTTTGTTTGTTTGCATCATTCTTGTTTTCAGAGTTTGCAGGATTTCTTACTTGCAACGTTTTTGGTTTGCAGTCGTTTTGTGTCATTTTTAGGTTGCGCGTGTGTTTTTTTGGTTTGCAATTTCTTTTTGTTCGATTGGACCGTGTTTGGTTCTGTCGGCCACTGGTTTATAAACGGGACGTGTGGCATGATGGGAAACTGACTTAGTTTTAATGTTTGCAGATAAATATAAATATGTCCACCCATCCAGTATGAAATTTAAAAACCATGTTAATGTTGACCATAAGATAGCTCTTTTCCTCACCGGTAAATTAATTCACTGCACCAGAAGGACGATGGAGCAAAGCAGTTGACATGTAAGGTCTATTTGCTTCTGGCCAAAGGTGCACAAGCATTTTTCGAAGGCCACAATAATACCAGGACGCTGAATTGTCATCCTCGTTAAGTGAAAGAGCGGACTCGTAAGCGACCTTCAATGGAGATCAAGGTTGAAACGGTTTGCGAGCATTTAAGTCTCCATCCGTGTGGAACTAGTAACTTGTGGTTCACCAAAACTGTGCTCCAGGTGAGGCTCGAACTCACAACCTCGGCATTGCTTTGCTGAATACTGTCATATAAGTACCGCGCGCTAACCGATTGCGCCACTGGAGCTTCGGAAAAACGCCCCATAAAGACGCCTTAAGAAGAAGGCTATGAATTGGGTCGGGAGTGCATTTCTTATTGACAAAAGTGCACTTGAACTCTATGAGGCTTTCTCGTGGTCAGGAAAAACACGTCTCGGGTTGCAGTCATGTTGTGTTTAAATGCCCCACCTGAAATAGGAATTACTAGATTCTTGTCTGTAGAGCACTGTCTTCTTCGGTAAAACATGAATTGTATTGTGTTTACATACACTCTAGCCGAAATAAAACAGGTTGTCTGTTGTCCATAGCATTATTTGAAGACAATTTCACCTCCGAAACTTGTTAAAAATGTAAAAACTAAACGATGCTCGAGTAGCACCCGACCATCTAAACGCAACCGTTTGTGATGCATTAGATAACACCATATGAAATAGGAAATCCTAGCGTTTCCCGTGTAAAGGCTGATCGTCTTCTGTAAACAGTCAAGTTCGTTAAGTTTCTTTTTATTTTATTCTAAATGAAGGTACTCAAATGGCTGAGATTTTATTTTGATGACATTTAAGCGCTGAAAATTTTAAAGAAATGTACGAAAGTCGGATGTGGGACACGGCTATTTAAATGTAACAGTGACGGTGCGTTCAGTAAATTAATTAAAGTAGGAATTTTGTGCGACACTACCCTTCTTTTTAGTTACCGGGACCCCTAAATACAAAGTGACCATGTTTACTGACACTGGTTGTAGTGATAATTTAACACATTTTAAATGCAGAGTTTTTGTAAATGTAAGATATCTAGTACCGTTACAAACCTCACAGACAGTGGTAAATCTTTTTGTGCCATATCTAATGTTGAGGTCACCTTGTGTCGGAGAAGAAAGGGTGTGCAAATTCAAGTTTAAAAAAATAGCCAATTCACCGCATCAGCTGTGGTGTATTCATGTAGTTCATACAAGGTAGGAAATCCTGTAGTTTCATGTGTAAAACCTTATCTCGAGTAAAACCAGAAACGTGTTCAATTTATTTTTAATCGATCCCGAATGGCGATGTCTCTGTTGTTTAAACGGCATTTTTAATTGGGCATGAAAAATAGCAGTCATTTGGGGAGACACATTCATGTACCCCACACAAAAAATTGAGGAATAGGAACTGGTAGTCTCTTGGGTGTTGTAGTTGCTGTCACGTTTCTGGTGGTGGCGGAAGGCCGATTGCAAGCCGGTCACACGATTTTCTTCAGCAATCACATATGGTGACAGATGACGCTTATTTCAGGCTTTTCTCAAGCTGCCTAACCCCCCCCGATTGTTCTCTTCCTTTCCATCTGTTGCTCACTTTCGCCTCGACAGGAAAACGACAGTACTGTACATCTGAAACATGGCTCGAGGGCTAAAAATAGACCAAGAGAAGATGAGGGCGTTTGCTTTATTATGACCATCATCAGCATATTCAGAATTCAACACGTGACATACGTACGAGAAAACACAAACATTCTCAATGAAGAAATCACAGGACCGTCGTGGTCACCTGAAAGTCATGCCTGATTTATTTATTCATTTTTAAATAACAAAAGTTGTAGGCCAAGTCCCGCGTTTCAGAGACAACTTGGTAACCTGTTCAAGCTCTAGAGGGGAGCTAAAACATGATTGGCCTTTAAAATATCATTCAGGAATCCTACGATGACAACACGAATTATTTGAATATTTATTGAAAATTATTAACAGAATGGACAAAAGTGACCAAAGAAAGGTGTGCTAAGCTTGTGGGATTCATGTTTATTGATGCGTGCGCATCTCCCAAATGTTGTGAATGAAAAAAAAAATAACCAGCAAAAATTATGTGGATTTGTCTTTTAAAAGTGCCTTTAATGTAACTTGCCTTGTCTATATTGGCTAACGCTAATGATGCCACTGCTCATTTTATATTACATATTTAAATACGTGCCTGAGGATGAGACTTTATTTGATTTTAAAGGGAAATTTAATTCTTTTTTTTTCCCGAATGGATTCTAGTGGGGTTGATTTAAAAAAAAAAAAAAAAAACAGTCAACCCAGTTAAAACCATTTTAAGCTTTAGTCCTCCCCTGAAACGAAAAACTTTATACAAACCAACATCACTAGTCACAATCAACAAACAAAGTTCATATGCCCATTCCTAAAAAACAATTTGGCATTTTGGCCCGTTGTTGCCATGACAACACACATACCTAAACACAAGCTCACACGCACACTTTGATGTACTAAAATGCTTATGTGGTAACATGTTTTTTCCAATCAAAGGTATACCTAATATATTGGCAAGTCGGGTTTTAAAGAGGAGACAAAAGGGGACAGGTGTTTGTGTGTATGTGTGTGTGTGTGGGGGGGCTCACGGTTGCCGAGGACTGAACGGGTCTGATGTTACGAGAGAAAAAGAAGGGAGAGAATGCGGCGGTTCAGTCGTGAATGACGATGGGGCCTCGCATCCTCAAGCTGGGATGCGGGTGCGGGGGCCCCAGGACCAGGCCCTGCGGTGGAGGCGCCTGCGAGGCCCTGCGCAGGGTGATCTGCTCGCAAGGCTGCCGACATGCATGCCGGAGCTGCGAGCGTGACAGCAGCCGTCTCGCCCTCCTACAGGGGGTGCAGCACGCACACGCGTCAATCAACACGGACTGGTAATGACATAAGGTCACTTTTGAAATGTTTTTCTTGCCGCGGCGCTACTCAGGGTGTTTTGCATCAGTAGGCTCCGAACGATTCATCGGCTGATATTAGCCTATTTGAAATCGGATGATTTAATTTTTTTTTAATGATTTTAGCCATTCTTTTAAAACACATGAATACATTACAACATGAGACTAAGACAACGACATTCAAATAACCCTCCCCAAAAAAGGCCAATTTGTGAAAATGTTGCTCTCTGCTGTAAAGTCAAACAAATGCAAAGTAGGGCAAAGTATTCTAAAACAGAAACAGTCAAATATAGGCTTCAGCGTCAAAAAAATGGTATCGTCGGGCCCGATTCTTAAGTACCGGTAACCCAATACAGTTCTGCTTGGTTTCCAAATATGGTTCTCCACTTGGGGTAAGCAACTCAAATCACCAATCATAGTTCCACTTAGGTGACCAATAACAGCTCTGCATAAGTGACCACTTCAATCACAAAAAACGTCTCCATATCAGTAACCACTTACGTGAGCAAAAAATGCTTCGACTTAAGTGACCAAATTTGTCAATAATGTGGCCACTTAGGTGACCACTTAAGTGGAACTAGATTTGGTATTTGAAGAGCAGCTTTAAGTCACCACATAGCGTTACAAGAAGTTTCGCAACTACGGTTCCACTTGCGCTACGTCAATGACCAAGTCAAATTGATATTATTAAACCTAGAGTCACACTTGGGTTCAGAAGAGCATTAATTCCGCCTCTTTTTTTTTTTTTATCCACCTCTTTGTCCCCCTCACCCGTGCTCTCTCTCTTTCACTCTCACTCCCATCTCTCTCGGCTGTGCCTCACGGCGTTGCTCACCACACTGAGAGAGAATGAGAGAGAGGGAGAAAGAGATGGAGGAGAAAACCAAGACGGCGGTGTCGTTAGCGAGAGGTGGCCTTTTCTCCCATCACAACCATTAACATGTAGTACTTCCTCATAAGCAGCATTATATACCTGTGTGTGTGTACTGTATTATCCCTGCACACACATAAATACACACACGCACGAACAAAGTGCTCTGAAGCTACACGAGCCCAGCAGGAGCCGCTAATGTGCTAATAACATTTCCACTCAGGACCCTGCTATGCGTGGCTCATCTGCACCAGTTAGTGGCGCTAATTTTAGGGGCAGCGGTGGCACTCTGAGACGCAGCTGTGAGGGCCTGGTACCATGACTCAATTAGACACCATTGAAATGGAAGAACATCTTCACCCTGCACATAGTTGTAATGAAGGGGAGCCTATTTGCATACAACAGGAACATCACTTGCAGAAAGCGTGCTGTGTTGGCGACGGAACCATTTTCAGTAACCCGAGGGGAACCATGTTTGACAGCTTATAAGTGGAACCATATTTGCTAACACAATCGGAACCCTATTTGGTAACCTAAGAGGGCGCATATTTGGTAAGCATCCAATTCGGTAACAAAACGGAACCACTTTTGGTCAGCCACAAGGAAACCTGGTTAGCAACCTAAACGGAACCACGTTAAACTAAATGAATGCATATTTGTTGAAATGTAAATGAAATTAATTTGGTAACCTAAAAGGAACCATACTTGGACACTTTTGACATGCTAAGTTGAAACGTGTTTAGCGGGTTAACGGAAACCATATTGGGGAGCTAAGCGGAACCTTTTGGTAATGTAAGCAGTACCTTAATTGGTAGCCCAAAGTGAACCATATTTGGCAACCCAAACGGTGCCATATTTACCAACTGAACCATAATTGGTACCTAAACGGAACCACATTTGTGCCGGAAAACGCATTTGGTAATTTACCCCAAGTACCTTAAAAAGATGCTTTTTGGTACATGGGGATTTAAGTGCCTCGCTCAAAGGCATCTCAGCCATCATGATCCAAGGGAATCGAACCTACGGCCTTCCAGTCGCAGGACACCCAGACTCACGATAGCGAGCAACCGGAGACATTAAGTTTGGATGAGGACATTGAGGTATTTCTCGTTTCCATGCTCTGTAATTGCTTGCCTTCGTCATGTCTTCTTCCCTTGAGCAGGAGGCCATCACTGCTGCTGCTTTTTATTAGACCATTTTTTTAACCTACACCCCCCTCAGCAACGTTTTGTCATTTCAATCCAGTTCAATTCAAATGAGGTTTCGCGTGAATGTCTGGCATGGGATTTTAATGCGGCAGCTTTTATGCAAGACGAATGTGGGAGGGCGTAGACGGCGCAAGGGATGGGGCGGGGGCGTGGGGGTGTCAACTTTAGCTTACCTGGTCTCCCGGGTGACGAGGAAGAAGCTGTCGTCCGGGGCGTCGATCCAGTTGGGGCGCCGCTTTCGGATCATAACGCCTCCGCGAGTGCTTCCCCCGCTGCTGCTGCGCCCGTTGTGCTGTCGAAAAGTATTACGGTGTCGGATTATGAACCATATTGGGCCGCCTAAGCCAAACCAGTAACTTGAACGCAACCACATTTACAGTACAGAGGAGTCATACAACTGTATTTGGTAACCTTTGTGGCAACATTATCCAACCCAAAGCATATCTGGTAACATCAGGAGAACCATATAGGGTAACCTAAGCAAAATCGCATTTGGTAACAAATTCGGTAACTTCCGTCACCGCTTTGTATGCTTGTTCACTCACCAGTAAGGCGCCACCTGTGGTTCCGGGGTTCTCTGCAACACAAAAAATGGCAGTGACAGACTTGGATGACGCACTTCTGTGTCATTTTCACACGGATCTAAACTCCCTTACCCGAGCGCCTGTCCTGCTCGGCTCCTCTGCTGTGGTGGTGAAAACTGCGCTTTCCCAGCATGCCGTGGGGTCCGTGCGGCAGCGAGGACAGCAGTCGGCGCGGCGGAGGCGTCTGCAGGCCGGCCGTACGGTGCGAACGCGGCGCCTGGGATGCCGGACGGGACTCTGCAACCACCGGCAGAGTGGTGTCAACTGTTTGTCGCCATGGCAATGGGGCAAAAAATATATCAGGGCAGCCTGGACTTACCTAGAAACTGCACCACGCTTGTCAGTGTGCTGCGCTGCGCCGCTCGAATTTTGGGGAGCCGGGTCCCGTGACCTTCAGACACCCTTGAGACATCTACACACACACACACACACACACACACTATACGTATCAGTAGAAGCTTCAAAGTCGAAACAAAATGGATGATGATGTCACTTACACTCGACACAGACATGAGGGCGTGGTGATGGCGCAACGATCCATGCGGCGGAGTGGGGGAGGTGGGGTTGTGTCTTCCGCTTTGTATGCTTGTTCACTCACCAGTAAGGCGCCACCTGTGGTTCCGGGGTTCTCTGCAACACAAAAAATGGCAGTGACAGACTTGGATGACGCACTTCTGTGTCATTTTCACACGGATCTAAACTCCCTTACCCGAGCGCCTGTCCTGCTCGGCTCCTCTGCTGTGGTGGTGAAAACTGCGCTTTCCCAGCATGCCGTGGGGTCCGTGCGGCAGCGAGGACAGCAGTCGGCGCGGCGGAGGCGTCTGCAGGCCGGCCGTACGGTGCGAACGCGGCGCCTGGGATGCCGGACGGGACTCTGCAACCACCGGCAGAGTGGTGTCAACTGTTTGTCGCCATGGCAATGGGGCAAAAAATATATCAGGGCAGCCTGGACTTACCTAGAAACTGCACCACGCTTGTCAGTGTGCTGCGCTGCGCCGCTCGAATTTTGGGGAGCCGGGTCCCGTGACCTTCAGACACCCTTGAGACATCTACACACACACACACACACACACACACCATATACGTATCAGTAGAAGCTTCAAAGTCGAAACAAAATGGATGATGATGTCACTTACACTCGACACAGACATGAGGGCGTGGTGATGGCGCAACGATCCATGCGGCGGAGTGGGTGAGGTGGGTTTGTGTCTTCAGTCGATGGACAAGTAACACACACGTGACACACGAAAGCACACAAGGACTCGTCGGAGATGCTTTCAATGCGGAACTTTATTTGGACGTCCGTGACACCGAGGACGACGACGAGGTAGATGGGGATGGATGGGTGACGAGAGTCCATTGATTGATTGACGGCAATGGCGTTATGATGTCATGGCCCGAGTGGGACGGAGGGAACGTTCTGCTCCAGTGGCAAGAATAGCTTTGCTCTATAGAAAAAGGAAACATCTGATGGTGTGCAGTTCTTCCTCGTGACTCTGTAATGATTGAAACTCAAGAGTGATGAGGACAGGCAGTCTTTATTGGAAATGAGAGGGGTGGGGGGGGCAGGAACGGGAGAATACAAAAAACAACCCCAAAAATGAGCACAACAATAAAAACAGGAAGAGACAGACGGAGGGGTGCTGATGGGGTGAGAATGTGCGTGTGTCCACGTTAGGAGGAATTGAAGGCGCTCTTACACTCTGCCTTTATGGCGCCGCAGTTAATGGGGACAAAGGGGCGGCGAGCGGCGCGGCGCAGCCTGATGACGTCGCGGCACATGTGGCGCGCCAGCTTGGTGAGGCGGGTGGCCTGCAGCAGGAAGGCCTGCTTGGTCTTCATGGACGACTTGGGGCTGCCGCTGTTGCGCATGGGAATGTGGTTGGACTGGCGCGGGGCGTGACTCCGCGACCGCGGCTCCTGGGCATGAGGGGAAAGCAGCGATGGCAAAGCCTTTTAGACAAGACAATAACATTGCTCTGGGCAAAAAAAGGAAAGCTAATATTAGGTAACCGAAGCATATGTCGTAACCTAAACAAAACTATATTTGGTCACCCAAATTATATTCGCTAACCTAAATGGAACCATATTTAAAGTAGACCCATATCCACTCACCCAGGCGCAACCCCATAACCATATTTTGGTAAACTAAGAGCAGCTAGTAATCTATGCAGAACGATGTTCTATTCCTAAACAGCAACATATTTGGTAACCTAAGCAAAACTGTTAGCTCAGGGGACCCACAAGTTATTTAAATAGAGATACCGCTCCACCTTGTGATCGGACCGGTGATGGATTATTCTTTTTGTGTTTGTTTTTAACTCACTGATGGGTGATCTGCACCAAAAATTCCGGGTCGCGTATTGCCTAATTAGGTGAACTTAAGAGGAAACAGGACCTGTAACCTAAAAGGAAATGGTAAATTTACGGTAATGAAACCATGTATCAAAACCAACAAGGAACCAATTTGGCAACCTAAGCGGAATCGTATTTGGCAACCAAAGCTGCAGAAGCCTGTAATTGGAAGTCACATTTTCCCTGGATAAATAATCCTTCCACCTCAATGGACTTGCCATAGTGTTCCAAGTGCTTTCCCCTCGCACACCCTTTAAAAAAATGCGCTGTGCTGAATGTATGAACATTGAACATGTGAGAGGTTTACAGCGCGCACTGAATAATTCATGTTGACGCCTGCCACAATAAATCACATAGTGTAGCTTCAACATCCACAAACATGTCCTCGAGAGCACACGATGACAAAGTGACGAGCCGCGGCGGCTGCTGGGACTCACGTTGGCAGCCGGGCTCGGGGACGTCCTCTCCTCGGGCGCCTCGGCTCGGCTGGGCATCTTCAGGCCGCCGTACTTCTTCCAGTACATCCAGCAGGACACGCACAGGCGGCACTGCATGTTGGGGGGCCCCCATGAGTACCACTGGGCAGACTGCATGGCTGCGGGAACACACGCCAGCGCGTTAGGGGACGATTAGCGCAGCCTCAAGACGTTTATCGATCCCCGGCAACGTCCCCGAAGGACCCCATCTACTCGCGAGCGCCTGATTGGTCTCGCTGAACGACGACCGCAAGCTGAAGGATCGCCACAGTACTAAGGACAAAATCGATACGCGAGTAGATTTTCATTCTGGCTTCATTTTCTGGTGCACTTGGTGTGGACAAATGTGATGCAAGCCTGCTAATTAAATAATTGTACTGAGGGATTGGACTAGAACTCCCATCTAATGAGGACATCTGGACAAGTACATGCTCCCAAATTTGTGAGAACGGTTTTGTCTGTCTCAGGAATGATTGACATATAATTTGACTAATGAATATGAAGTGTTGCAACTCGCCGATGACTTGTCGCACATTATGATTGGCACTCTCCTAAGACTTGAGTTCACAAAGCGTATTTCAGATCTTCATTCAGGGTGGTGTCGTTTGGCTTCCGTTGAACACAAACTTACTGTAGCAGCTCTCGCAGGCTCGACCCCCGCCAGCCGCGTGGAAGGTTCCGGGCCCTGCGCCGTTCACGGTTGCCATCTTGCCGTTGGTCAGCGAGATCTGGTTGGGGTTGGGCTTATTACTGTCAGAAAAAGAGCGGGGGGTGGGGGCGAGCGGGGGGGG